GGTGTGTAAATACCCCGTGGTGCTCAAAGGCGTCTGCGGCCTCATCTCGTAGTCAGAAATAAGTCTCCTTGGGCACAGTTCCTGCTTGGATACTTCATCCAAGTCCCTGCCGTGTAAGCGGAAGGGGGTCTCACAAACCACATCCCCCACCAGGGCTGAGTAGGAGATGCTGTCCAACCAATCCTTTAGAGAGATCAGCTCACAAGAACAATTCCAAGGGTTTTCCTCCAGCTGTAGCTCCACAACTTTATCCATGTGCTGTAAGAGCCCCACGTAGGGCAGAAGTTTCAGCCTGTTCCCCCGGAGGTCCAAGTGCGTTAAGGGCACAAAACGGAAAAGATTGTTGGGTAAACTGGACAAAAGATTGTCATTGAGGATAAGCACCTGCAACAAATGCAGTTTCCCAAAAGCATTGGGTTCAATGACGCTGATGTAATTGTAATCGACCTGTAGGTACTCCAGGTTCTCCAAGCCAAGGAAGGTATCATCTCGCAGAAGTTCCAGTTTATTATTGTTCAGATGCAATCTCCTCAAACCCCGTAGCCCATGGAAAGCCCCGGTCTCAATGTCCTGGATAACATTGCTACCCAGATGCAAAATTGAAGCCCCAGTGTAATTGACAAACTCATTGGGATAGAGACGGTTCAAAAGGTTTCCGGACAACAAGAGGTGGTAGACTGGGAAACGGGGAGGGCTAATTTCAGAGAGACTGATGATCCCGCGGTTTTCACAGCTCACAGTTAAAATGCCGTCCTTTTCCTCACAAGGACATGCATTGTCACAGATTTCCCCATAATAATCGATGGATTCTGCACACGAAAGGACGAGAGATGTTACAGCAAACGCTAGAGTCTGCAGCATCCAGCTATGCATTTTTCTGTGAAGGTCCTGTTCCAAAGTTACTGGGGGGCAGCAAGTGTGCATTTTACCTCCTGTAAGGGAGAGAGAAAACAAGGAAACAACAGAATATGACAAAAATTTAAGGGATCAGTCAGAAAGTCTCTCTCTTAATATTATTACTCTAAAACCCAAAAGGAAGAGATATAAATGACACACCCCCCCCAGTGAAACATTGACATTCTCCAGATTTTATTAAAATCTATTATACATTTTGATTTAACAGTTGATTTCATTTTTTTTTTAATGAGCACACCACAAATATGCTGTTCCCTACAAGAAAAGAGCAGGTTAGATAAAGTCCCATTTTAGTTTTCTCTGCTCCCCCCTTTTCAAAACCAATCCATAAATATACATAAAATGGCTGTCAGTTCAGTTTCATGGTTCTAATTTAAGAAAAAAGAAGCACCATTTTACAAGGTTCCCCACCTCACCTATACCCAGCCCCCTCCCCCCTTTCTTTCTTTCAGAACCTCTTCAGTTAACAGTTCACCATGAAGGTCTCTTATTTTCACAGAGAGGCAAGGAGCCAAGATACTTGGGGTATTTTAAACCATCGCTAGAAATGCCACGGTGGGAACCTAAAGGATACTTTTCAGAGGCAAAAAGGGTGTAATATAATGCATCAAAGGAGCCCCAAGAAGCTCTTAGATCACCAATTGTCTTCCGGAGCTTTGAGTAAGGAGAAAAAGGAGAACGCATTTGCTTTGATGGTGGACTTCACTACCACGCTATTAAGCACATCAGCGTCCTAATTGCATGCACGGTGCCACTTAGCAGCGCTTCCCTGAGAGCGCCCTGCGACCACTTCTCATTGATCATGTCAGCGACGCTACCAAACCGCATCTTTAAGCCACTGAAATAGTTCTGCACGACGGATTACAAAGAACTCAGCGAAGGTATCTGCAATCTCCGAATACCTCCTGATGCCTAGAGTTTAAAAAGGACGTTCCTACCGCTTACTGGGAATCAGTAAACCAAGGATCAGTGCCAAAGCCTCGCTTACCTTGGGCTCCGCGTCTATTTGCAACGGTAATAGCAAGGGTTGCACGGAACTACCACCTCGACAGCATCCCCATCTTTGGAGTTGCTTATTACATTTAATTGTTAACGCTCCCCTCTCTCCTTTTTTTAATCTCAGGGAAAGGACGCCTGGGTTGATTAAAAGGCAAAATAGAAAGGTGGGAGGGAGAACTGTAAGTGACTTAGGCCAGTTATTTAATATACGAATTTCATCTCCCACAGGAATCAATGTGACCCCCTCCCCCCCTTTTTTCTTGCTCTCTTTTTGTCCCCTTGAAGGCTTCCTTCCACTTCCTACTTCTGATCAACAGCAGCACTCTTAAAGGAAGGACATAAATGGAATGAGCGTGTGTGAGTGTGTGTGTGTGCGCGCGCGCGTGCACGCTGCGTTGGTTAATGGGGTGGGGGACATTTGATAGAAATGCTGGGCTCTAGGAACCTACGCCTTTTCTCTGGTCAACCTTGCCTTTGCCTCACTTCCGAAGTCTAAAATCAAATTGCAACTCCAAACTAAAGCCAAGATGTTTCCGAGACAGCGGTTTCAAGCCTGGAGACCTTGCTCCTGATCCCCAAGTCGACTCCAGCCCGCGTTCTTAAACACCCCTGCATTCACACGCACATGTACCAGTGTGCCTGCGAATCATTCACGTGTGGCCACCCAGACGTGTCGAGACGAATCGGAACCATAGTGCATAAACCTCGCAAGTATTCCCGACCTCCCAACGCAACGGTAAACGTCTCCCGGCTTAAAAGCGGCAAAAACATCCCCAGTGAAAGTAAAACGTTTACCTTGAAATTTCAGTTCTCCGCTGGATCAAATCCGCACATCCATTCAGCGAGGTTGGGTCCCCTCCCCCTCCCTCCCTGTGCTTCCCCGCCCCCATTCACCTCCCACCCCATCTGAAAGCCCATTGCAAATTCTGTCCAGCCAGTATTAAACTCCAGCGTTTACAACTTTAATTCAGTTCTAGTTAGCAAGGATCGAAGAGCTTCCTCTCAACCCACCCCCTTTCCCCTCCTCCTTGCTAGCAAAGGAGACCAAAAATTTGAGAAAATAAAGTTGAATGAGCCTGGGAAGGCTGACATTCTGACGGGGAAACGCACCTCCGATGGAAATTCGCGGGTGCGCTGAACATTCTCAGATTCTCAGATTTTTTTTTTTTTCCTGGAGGGCGGGGGCGGGGGGATTATTCATTTTCTCCCAGAGAATTTAGGTACTGGATCACCGCCCTGTACGTCCCCGCATTAAGCAGCATGGAGCCACTCGTACTGGAGCCCAGCACCCAGGCCGAACCGGAGGCTCCGGGCACAGCTGCTCAAGCGGCCGCCCAGGCAGAAGCACCCGGAGTTCCAGGACGCGAGGCTCCCCCTCCCCCACCCCGCCCCAAAGAGAAGGAAGGGAAAACGGAGGAAGAAGGGGAGGGAGGAGATGGAAAGAAAGCCACCCCGCCACACACACACACACACACACACACACACACACACAGAGAGACATACACACGCGAACCTCTTTTGCAAAGTAAACGATAGACTTACCCCGTTTCACATCTCCAAGGCCCGCTCATCATAGCCATCCTTTAAAAACACACACATACACAAAAACCCTCTTTGGGGTATGCATTGGGTTTCTCAAGCCCAGGCAGGGCGAGGTGACCGCGAGTAGCTGGGTCCCAGAGGCTGGAGGAAAGAGGCGCCCGGACGCCTCCAGCCCGGGGCCGCCGCCGCGGTGGCGACCGCGGGTTCCGGGGCTCCCCAAACGACTCTCCCCGGGTCTCTCCGCGGTAGTCGGAGCGGGCAGCAGGGTTGGGTGGGGAGAAGAGCGGGGGGCGATCTGGAGCGGCGGGATAGGAAGGCAGCGGGAGGGGGCGGCGGAGGTCCGGCTGGAGAGGCGCCTCGCGGTAGGGGCCGGGAGCCGGAGCCGGGCGGGGCGGGGAGGGGGAGCTGCTGGGAGGGGAGGCACGGAGCGGGAGGAGGGGGACGCGGAGAAGACTGCCTGGCACCGCCGGCCCCGCCAACGTGACGGTCAGCCCCGCCGAGCGCTCGCACCCGCTCACACTCATGATCACTCGCACACTTGCTCCAATCCGTGTTAAGGCGCGATCGCGGGGTCCCTGGCAGCCTTCGCTGCACCCTCCCCCAAGTGGGGTACTCACAGTTCCCATCTGCAAAGGGGGCAACTTTCTCCGACCCAGCTGTGGCCGCCGCCCCCTCCAGCCTCCTCCAGCTCCTCGCACCCTCGGGCCTGGGTTCGCGCCGGCCGGCCCTCCCCTCCCCCCTCGGCTCTCCTCGCGGTCTTCACCACATTCCCCCCTGGTCAGTGGCGCACGCCCGGGGACCAGCCAGAGGGAGCGGGTCGCGGGGGTGTGCATGCATCTCCCGCCTTCTTCTTGCAGCGCACACTGTACATGGTAGTGAGGGGGCGAGCGAAGGTGGCACCGGCCCCTCCGCTGCTCCAGCGAAGGCGGCGGCTGCAGCTCCTGCTCTGTCCTCCGCCCCCAGCGCAGCGGCGACCACCTCGTTGGGATCCCGCCGCCGCTGTCCCCGCGCCGAGCCAGCCGCCGCCGCGGCCCCTAATTAGTATTTGAGAGGCTCCCTCATCCTTTTGGCAGTTTCATCCCTCACGGTGTTTGCAGGTTTTTTTTTTTTTTTTTTTTCTGTATCCCTTCCCCAGATGCGGCGCACAATCGTCATTATTTGGAACTCTCTATCACCGACATCCTTTGGGGTTTCTGGGGGAAGAGGAGGGGGGGCGGGCAGGAACCGCGTCGTTCTATGCCTGTGGCTTGTCCTGGCAGCACGGTGGCTCTAAAAAAAAACTCCGAGAAAGTCGCGTCTTCCTCCCGGTCGCCGAGGAGGTGGCAACACGGAAAGCAACTCCGGGTCTCTGAGACAGCTGCTCCAGAGCGGGTGCAGGGCCCAGTCCAGTGCACTTGTTTATTGTCGCGCCTCTGGTGCGAGCCAAGCTGCAGCAGACATGGTGGGCCCGGGGCGAAGCGGGCGCTCGGTGGCCGATAGATGGCAGCCGAGGGCGAAGGCGTCCCTGGGCTAGGGCGGCGCAACCGGAGCCCCCTTGGATGTCACATTCTTAGGAGACAGAGGAGTCTTGGACCATGTGCGTAATACGAGCGTGGGACTGGACTGTGCAATTCTTGGATTGGGAAAGGGAGGAGTGGAAATAACCCCGGCGGTGCCAGGTTTGCTGGTGGTCAGGAACAGATGATTCCAGCTCAGTGCTGATCGCCTGCCTTCCTCCTGCCATTTAGAATGCGGCTGTCTCATGTACATACTGTTAAGGATCCTGGAAAAGGGAGTGGTTCCTCCTAGCTGCAAACAAGGGCGCTACTTTTCTTTTCTCTTTTTAATAGAATTACGTTTTATAGGTGTGTCTAGGCAACACAAGGGAATGTGAAAGACTGTCAGAGGGAATGTTTTTGAATACATTTGGTGTGTACTAAAAAGCTGGAAAACCCCTAAGTAAATGCAGTATCGATAGAAAGCGAGTTTCTTGAAGAGTCACCTGCTAAACTCTACTAGAGTCATCTCTACAGTAAGTATTCTTGGCTCTTTCCATGAAACCAGACACTTCCATCCCCAAAAGGGGGTCTTTACATTCATAAGACATGTTTTCAATGTTTGTAATATTAGACCTGCTGTTCATCAAAGCTATGAGAGAAAAGTTGATCATCATAAGTGACTCAGTGCAGACTGAGTGCACATGTGCCTGTTCCTTTGATAACTATGTAGTTAGTTTCTCCATGTAAATATATTTTACCCACTTTATTTTGGAAATAGTTGATATTGTTTTATTCTTAGTAATATTTGGGGTAATACTGTGTTATAATATTCTGGTTAATCATGTTTAATATTAATATAGAGTCCGATAGTATGTCTATGTTCTGAGACGTATATGTCTCTCAGGCGATGGGCATTGCAGTCTCTTGAGGTATTGCAATCTTTCTTGAACTTTCCCCTGCATATGTTGTGCAAATATATATTTTTTTACTTTATACCATAATTACTTTATTTGGAAACAATTTTGTTTGAGTGTGGGTTATATTCAAGGGAGAGGAAGGAAAGAAGTAATAGTAATTTCAGATAATAAAAACAAAGTCTTGTAATGGAACGTTTTATTAAATTTAGAAACATTTGACCTAGGAATGGTAGTCACTAGCTATAGATACATTGCATAAACAATTATAACTTACACTTCATCCACAAAAGACTTATTTCTGTATTTTTATTTAGTCATTAACTTTTAACACTATATAAACATTTTAGAAAATTTATTTTTAAGTGTAAAATTACTTCTATATTTTCAAAATGAAAATGTAATATTTAAATTTAAAATTATATAGGAATTACAGCCAGAAGCCTTTGGAATATAACTATTGAGTCCTATCAGAAACATAATTTTCAATATTGATTAACTTTGTAGAAGTCCTGAAAGGTCCTAAATTGTCTTAATCGATTATTTATTTTTTCAAAATAGCTTAAATAAAGCTATTGTATTTTATCACTGTTCTAAATCTTCATAATTGTATTCAATATTAAAGTTTAATTCATGGTTTTGTATTATTTTATTTTAAATACTTATTGTTCTAATTAAAGTAAATGTTATTCAACTAAGAAGTATTAAATATGTTTGGAATTAGTTTAAGTTACGGTTTTGTTGGAAACACTTATGCTAATAATCTAGTTTATCTCTTGTGGTTCAAATAAGTAAATGATGAAAACTTTCTACCATTAACTTAACAATAAGGGTTGCCCCAGAAGCCACCACTACCTTTTACCGCTAGGTGTCTCTGTAAGATGCTCTGCAAGAAAATGAAATTTTAGAAAATACTGTGGCATGAGTTCAGAACAGAAGAACACAAGAGCGAAAACATCACAGATATAAGGAGAAGCCTCAGTTATTAATCTGTTTCTTTATTTGCATTGAATGTTGACTATTGCTTAGAAAATATATAAATGAATTATATAAGAGTGCTCAAATATGAGCAAAAACTTTTACCTCACATGAACAAACGTATCTATGTTTTAGTCTATATTAAGCAACATATGGTCATATGTGTACACATGCTTTCAGATAGCACTCAGATACTGCACTTAATTACATAGATACATTTGGCCATTGTAAAATTAAATGATTGATCAAATATATCTCCCCAGAATTAAGTTTATTAATATTAAACATTATTTGATGGAGTTGGATGTGAAAGTCACATTTGTCCAAATGTTTGCAAATATATTTTTTCATATTAGAATTATCTATTGAGAGAGTATCATCATAAATGCATATCATGTGGGGAAATATATTTGGAAATATATTTGGCAAATATATTTGGCATTTATACTGCAAATGTAATTGTCATGATCAATTATGGTCATAATTTGATACCTGCAAATTTAAATTTAAATTTAAAACATAAGTAGCTTACTGGCCACTTAAAATTGACCGTATATTTTTGTAAATTTATATTTATTAATTTCTAGAATTATTATTTTAGTGCTTTATGAACACAAGAGGAATTATTATATTAAGTACATTTCTTAAGATAACACTTATCACATTTGTGTATCACCGTGTGTTATCTTTAGAATATTAAAATGCTTAGTCAAGAATTATGGTGCTTTAAGAAACAATCTAATGAGGATTATAAACAAGGAAATTCTTTATTAATCATTGCATGACTTCATAAGTATTGATCAACATCTATCTAAAGCCAGTAGAGCTTGCAATTTTGTTGCTGTTGTTGTTGTTAGCCTAACTGGTGAGTTAAGATTATGGAATTCTAATGCTAAATTTCTATTCCTCCATAGTAATGGCTAAGAAGTCTGTTCAACTCTATTTAATAAATGACACATTTTTCAAGTCTAAGTTAAGGGGCATATGTCTTTAAAGTTTTTGAAATTGAAATTTTATATATATCACATTCATATATATAATTATATATAATATATGATATATAAATATATATATCTTACATATCTAAAAGGAGAAAATAAAAGTTTCTTCTGGAGGAAAATAATGAGTCACCATTTATGATTGTGTCTCTATGAAATTGCTAAATTAAATAAGTATATAGCATTTGTCTTTGACATTTTCTCTAATACATTTAAAATTAAAAACAAACATCATGCAGTTATAATTATCAAAGTAAAAATGGCCAGCAAATATAATTTTGCTGAAATTATTTATGCACTTATAGACTTAATTATTCACAATCTTAGAAATAGACTCTCAGAGGCATTACAAAAGAATATACAACAAATAGCCAATTTTCTTCCTTGCCTCATGCTGTTCCTTGCACATACACTCTGGTATTTTTTGACATAATTACATATGAAAATATCCTTTTTGGATAACCAATTGGAATTATCTACAAAAATATATCTTTGGAACACCACTTTTTCAGAAAGTAGCCTTCAGGTGTGCCAAAGTAAGATATATAAAACACTATGTCAGAAGATATTATTTGTAACAGATGCTTGCATTTGAAAATGACTAAGAACAAGTTAAATGTCTGACTCACTGAAAAATCATACACATCCATCTATACCTTAGAATACTCTTCTACTTTAAACACCAGTTTGTATAGGAATACTGTTTTGCCATTTCTAGGAGTATATATAACATTACCTGTAATATGTGAGAGGCAGACTTTTTTCTGGAAAGAAATTAATACACACAAATCCAATAATAGTGTTTACCTTTTGGAAGAAGACTGGCACCTTAAATAGAATGGGAATTTGTTTTTCATCATATGCTCTTTTCTTTACTATTTTTGTTTTTTACAGTTTTGGTTTCTACTATATTTTGTTCAATTTTTACATATACATTCCCAATAAAAATTTATAAAAATGTGCACTTGAAAAATAAGGATATTTGGAAGGGTGATTTAAGAGCTTAGGAAGAGTTCAAGATGATTTCCTTAAATTCATCTCTATCCCATAGTTCCCAAATGGTTTTATTGTTCATGACACATTATTATCATTGGAGACACTGAATATATTTCTAAATGTGAGTGCCAATTAATTAGTTACAATAATTTTTCATCATTACTCATATGTGACATTCAATTCTAGCTACCAATATCAGCTAATAGAATGGTCATTAATAGAAGCTAGCTTTGTTATCTTCACTATTCAGAACCATGCTGTGTATTGGGAACATCAGTTTCATTTGATACTCTGGTGAGTGAAGAGGAAGATGAAAATGGCTCTGTTGAGAAGATAAGTGATTGCACTTGAAGTTGTCAGCAGCTGTTCTTTACTATTTACTGAAGAAAAGTGAGTGTAGTTGTGACATTTTAAATATACAAACTATCATCAGACCCTGTTAGAACAAAGGCTACTGCCATCTGGCTTATACTAGCATTGAAATGCACACATTCCACTGGAAATGAAGCAGTTTCATAAAGTAATCAGATTAGCTTTTCTATGTAACTCTCTTATTAGTGCTATGATTTGTCTCTTGGGACCCATTGATCCTTGGTTCTCGCACATTTCTAGTCATTTTTAGAGAATAAGTCTAAACAGGCATTATGTTATGCCTATATTTTCTGTGTTATTTCTGTTTTTTTTTTTAACAGAGAAAAACAATTAATTATCCTAAAACACAGTCAAATTACAACAATTTAAGAAGAACCATTGCTAATGAAAAAATATCTAAATTGACTGTACTACATTCAACTTTGCCAACTGGAATCCTTCATTCAACAGAAGACTCTCATAATCTCTTCATCCCCTCAAAATGAATCAGCCTTTTCCCCAACTCCAATGCTTTGGTTTCCACTGCTCTTTTATCTGTCAGACTTTTCATTTTTCTTTTACCTACTGTTCTAGAGAATTCTATGTAAGTCCTTTCTCCACCTGAAGAAATCTTTCTTATTCTTTCTAACAGTGAAGACTTGCTTATCTAAACATTCCCTTGCATTTTTAAACACTTGATCTGCACAATGTTCTATTTCTTGCTTAATGTGTATTTTTCTTCCAGACTACATTATCATTACTTATTTTGAAAACAGTATATGGTATCCCTTCAATAGCAAGAAAAATGAGCTCCAGAAATCTCTTTGTATATACAAAATACTTGTTCATTTACGAATTTATTAATTCAACAAATATTTATTTAGCGCCTAAAATGTGCTAGATCCTATCTCTTGTATTTGAGATGAAAATAGTTGATTCATATCCGAATGCTTACAGAGATGTTTGACTTTTTGTGAATTATCTACTTTCTCTCTCAAAATTAATGAATTATAATTTATGCAATAAAATTATATTGCATAAATTGTATTCTTGAATAATATTTATTGTGGCATATGTTCAGCAAACCTCTACAAGAGGCTGTTCAATAGAATTTTCTAAGATAATAGAAATTAACTGTATCTGTGCAATCCAATGTGATAGCCATTGGCCACATAAGGCTATTGAGCAATTGAAATATGAATGATACCTTTCGGTAGGTGGTAGCTTTAAAAAATGAAATGTGGATGATATGGCAGAGGAACTAAAATTTTATTGTTATTTAAATTTGACTGATTT